CCCCCTCTATCATTACCTATTTTCCTGTCTGGCCACTCTCAAATAAAGGCCACTAGAGCCAATAAAACCATAAAAAAACAAAACAAAACAAAACAAAAAAAAATCAGACCCAGCAAGCAGCGCCTACACACGTGTGACTGACAGCGCTGAAACTCTCCTCCTGGCTCTGGTTGGTTGTTTTTGTTTGGGAGCAGACCATTTCTACAGATAGCGATAATAGCTCTGGGAGGAAGTTGATTTTTTTCACAGATCATCTGTCTCATACTGTCGGGACGTAGTGAGAGTTTTAACAAATATGCAAAAAAAAAAAAGACATATTCTTGTAAAAGCTGCATACTGCAGCTGTCAGGTCACTCCACAACATTTTCAGGTCAGACTGTTTGTAAGAACATTTTACCCCATCAGCTTATGTCACTTTGATTCTTAACACCTTAGAAACCTTAGAGTTCAGAGTCAAAGAAAGCAGGAAAAGTTACGGTCACATCACGGTATCTGTAACAAAAGTTCCAGATTGTTGTGTGATCTGTAAGTGCTTTTATGTTTTGACAGAGAACATGCGGTGGAGACAGACGCATGGAACAGTATGAACAAGCATGAACAAGTTCAGAATGTGCAAAAGTCTGCAGGTATTTTCCTTCGTGTTGCTCTGCTAAACCGGAGAGATCTCTACGTGGCATTGCTGTTTCATCTGTCTTTGGTTTATTATTTTTTATATAACAGGCAGTGATGTGTTGGTAGTTTTTATTTTAGCTCTTTCAGTCACGTTGTCAGAAAAGCTCGACTTCTTTGGCATCAAAACCAAAACAAAAAGGTTGATCGTGATTGAAGAGGTGGGTCGGTATATTTCTAATAAGTTGCTTTGGATATATTTTCCCCTAACAAATGAAATCATAATTTTAAAACAAGTTTTTGTTCATTTTTGATATAAAAATTTGTTGAAACGACTAATCGGATCAATCACGATTAACCTATTATTGAAACAATCGTCAACTTTAAAATTCGATTAATTGTTAACTGGGATATACAGAAAAAAAAGCCATTTGGTGAAAAAAAAACATATTGAGAGCAAGTAGTTTAGCCAAAACTGTACAGAAATATTTTACATTTAATATAAAAACACCTTTGACTGTAAATATGTTTTAGCCAAAACTCCTCAAGAAAAATGGCTTTAGCTTCACCCAGTTCAGGAATGCGACGTTATTGCACTTTAGGCAATAAAAAGTTCATTTCCTTATTTAAAAATGTATTTTTAATATTGTATAAAAATACTTAAGTGGTTTAATTGTCAGAATAGTCGACAGATTAATCGATTACTAAAATAACCATTAGAAAAATAGTTTGATTAGAAACAAAGCAAACTCGTAGGGACTCCTCAGTGCCCACAAAGCAAAACTTTTCAGAATGAGAATTTTTCTGCAGGATTCTTTGAGTGTTTTTATGCTCTCAGAGTCACAACAGTCACTTCCCCCCCACACTTACTTCTGCGTGGGGGGGAAGTGACAAGCTCCAGGTTTGGCTCTGTGGGTCAAAAATAGACGTACAAACGGGGGACTTTACAAGCCGCTCGCTTGTAAAGTGGGGATGAAAGGCAACTTTCATCGCGAGTTTTGTGTCAGACTGTCCTCTCTTGCCGGGGTTTCTGAGCGTAATGGAAATGACAGCGGATCCGACGCGGCACGAACGGCCCGACAGCTCGCCGACCCGGCCCAAAAACAACACCACCTGCAGACAGACGCTTCCCATCTGATCACAAAGCTGCTGCTCCTCAATTCATGGAAATACCAAGCAGCACCACGCTGTCCCTGCTGGCAGCTCGATCTGTCTGTTTCTGTTTTCATGAGGACACACACACACACACACACACAGAGAGTACAGCTCGCTGGTCTCTGCCATCAGCTCTGACACTCAGTGGCAAGTATCGATCCAGAGGCTTCGCCTTTTGTCTCTAATCACTCAACCCTGCTTTATTTTTTATTTTTTTTACAAGTTAGATAAGTGCAAACAATACGTGTCAGTAAATTCAGCCTTTTTTAAATAAATAAATTGGACACTTATTACTTTTAAATATTGCTAAATATTGTTCTTCTATTGTTATTCTATTAGAATAAAACATATTTACTGCTAATATTGTTGGAACATTTGTCAAAGCAGATTTAATTTATGAATCAAAAGCATTAAGATGAATTCAAGTCTAAATTACTGCTTGGGCGGGAAACTCTTGTTTGCGATCATTTTCTAAGAGTCTGGGTTTTTATTGTGCTTTCTTTGTGTCCATCAGCAGAACACAAAGAAAAAGCAGCCGGGAGTCGGTGTGGAGCAGAGAAGCATGGAAATCAGCGGTGAATGGTTTTGGTCTCTGAGCCCTCGGGCGGCGCAGCGTTGGAAACAGATTAGCGGAAAACATAGGATGAGCTCAGGAACCGTGCTAAGCAGCGCGCTGAGTGAATTCACTGCTGTGTCCTAAAGTTAAATCTCCACTCAAGAGCCCCTTTATGCTGCAACGTTTACAGAAAATCACACGAGTGTAGGATAAAGTTAAACCAAGGTGGTTTTATCACACCTTTACAGTAATCAGTGACTAAAAGCTTAAAAAAAAAGAAGAATAAAAAAAAATACCACCTGCTGAAATCCAAGGACGTTTATTTCACGTTTATTTCAGAAGTGTGAAATTTAAAAGAAGCATTTATGTTTGACCAACGTTTAGCTGTACTGGTGTAATGCTGCACTAATACTGATTTTCTTTTCTCATTTCAGTTTGACTGACAAACACATTCAGCTGAACCTGGGTTTTAATTTAGCAATCAATGGAGTTGCAAGATGACCCCCATTTGTGCATAAAAGTGGGTTTCCTGTGCACTTTATCTGGATTTTCTCAACTAGACCTAAAAATATGCTGGTTTCAATGCATTCAACTTAATTTGTCAATGCTGGTCAAGACGAAAATTGGCAAATCTTGATTACCGTCAACTACAATAATCGATGCTCCCCTGTACGTTTGGCATTTAATTCACTCACAGAATATGTATTAAGTTGCTGAGTTCAAATGCTAAATGTTTCCATGTCAAACTTTTTTCGACCAACCATCGCAACACGTGATTCAAAATAAGTTAAAGAAATTTTAAAAATCGATGATTATTACTCAGATGCCAACCTGTCGGATTTCTGTTGCTTTATCATCAAATGTAAAACAATTATGTAAGCAAGTAAGATGACTTTATGCATCCTGGCACCTGATGAATTTCAAAGGACTGGCTGGATAAACCCAGAGTGTAATAATGTGATTATCATTACAAGTTTATGTGAGGCAATAAGCTTCACGGGCCCCTGATCTGATTCTGATCTGTGCGTCTTTCTGAAGACAAAAAAAAAAAGCATTCATCTCATGTGAAGATGGTGTGAGTGGAGGTCTGCATGCTTCTGCTTCTCCTGCATTATTAGCATATATGATTAAACAGCCGAGTGGCTCTCAGCTGAACCTGCAGCGCTGCAGATAAATGACCATCATGACGTGATTAATTAGAGCACCGCTTGATGGGCTTCAGGCTGCATCTCATTTCACTCCTTAACCCTCGACCTTAAAGGAGAAATGGGAGTTTGGTTTGTTTCTGAGGAGTAAATAAAGATTTACAGGGAATGGTTGCCTTCCAGGCGCAAACTTGGAAATGAAGAAGCAGAAGATTTAACGTCGGTAAGTGAAATCGACTCCAGCAATGTCTACTTTGAAATGTCCCAGCATGTCAGCTCTAATCATTGCCAATTATTGGTGATCAGATTAAATATCAATTTTGAAAAAAAGTAATATGACGTAACTTTCATTTCTTCTCAACGAGTAGCAAGAACAAAATCATTTTAAAAAAGGACTAAAGTTTTTAATGTTTTATCGATACAGACCCAACGATCAGGCTTCTGATCCGGATGATTCATGTCGTTTGTTTTTTTTAATGACGTCTGACATGGAGTCTGTCTTTGACCAATCCCATTTCTGACTAAAATAGAAATGAAATATGCTGCTCACTCTTTGCCAGCAGCATTACAAGTTATTACAAGATCGCCCATATTTATACACAAAACACTCATCTGATCATTAAACTCAAAGTATGCCGGGCGAAAATCCTTTTACAAACACACCAGATCTTTGTGTTTGTAAAATATTAGACTCCAGTTATGGATCAAAGTTGAAAATGATCAGGCTGATTGATTGATTGGTGCATCTCTAATTATGCAATATTACATATCTTATCATACTCTATTACATGTTATTACTATACATTAAACCTGTCATTTTATAAACCATGTAAAATGTAAAAACTCTTTAAATACTTTAAAGTAAATCACATTTGTTCGCAATTGTTCTACATTAAAAAGCATAAAAAATACCATCCGCCTCTGTAACAGTTTACAGGATATTATTCGTCACCTTATTATCATCTTATTATCATATATCAGCAGTGCCCCGGTCTGACACATATTTTAACCACTATTGGTAATCAGCGGCAAAAGATAATGGAGGGGAAGTAGGTTGTGGCAAAAGAGAGGGGGGCGGAAAGAGATTTACATTTTTCCGCTCATAAACACAAATCAAACCCTTCCTGACAAAAATAAAGCAACTGTTTTATAAACCTGGAATACTTTTAAGAATCTCTGCTTGGTGTAAAGTAAAATCATTTTTAGAACCTCAGAGTTTGAAGTAAAGAGATGATATAATCTATTCAAAGCAATCCTTAAATTAAGCAAACAACATCTGCTTCATCAACTAGCTTCACTGTTACGCCATGTTTTATTAAAATACTAGATATCAGAAAGAAATGAAGAGAAAACTAGCTCCGGCTCAACGCGCAGATCATTTTTATTCTGAGCTGTTATGTTGTCCCCCTCATACGATGACCCCCAGGGCAGAGAGCCATAATACCACATCTGGGAGTTCGGGAATTCAGTCTAAGTTAGAAGTTTTCCCTCTTTATGAATAAAAAAACCCCGTCAGTGACAAAGCGCGGACTCACCTCAGTGGGATCTTCACCGCCAGATATCTGTCAATCGCGATGGCCAGCAGGCTGAAGATGGAGCTCTGAGTGAGTACCAAGACGAAGCAGGCGAGGAAGAGGCAGCCGTAAAAGTTCAGGCACAAGCCGACGCTGATGATTATGGCGAAGGGGATGGCGAGGCAGCCGACCAGGATGTCAGCCACAGCCAGAGACACCAGAAAGTAGAAGGTGGCGTTCTTCAGCGTGCTGTTGATCGCCACAGCCCAGCACACCAGCACGTTGCCGCATATGGAGAGGACAGCGATCACTGCTTCGATCGCGATGTACGGAGCATTCATCTCAGCAGAGTGCGTCCTGAAATCTGCAGGTGGGTTACATCAGTGACGGTCATCCGCGACGCCTCTAGTCCCAGAGAAGCCAGCAAGTCTGTGTGCTGTAATCCAGGAATACTCCACAAGTGGCTGCAGAAGGTGCCATCTGCTGCGAAGCGAGGAGGGCACTTTTAGACCAGATGGTTTGTGCAAACTTGTCAAAAAAAAAAAACAAAACAACAAACTTCAACATCCGTCTGTTTCATCTGGTTATCTGTGTGACTTACCTTAACGAGCTCACGCATCGCTTCTGGGTGTCCTCACTCATGCGGAGGAGCGGAGGAGCGTCTGAGCGGCATCTGTACGTCAGTGGTGTTGGTAACAGTGTGTCACACAACTTCCCTCAGACGGCGGTTTTCATGCAGAGTAGGAAACGCGAGAGGGCGAGGAGGGAGAGAGAGGGGTGGGGGATCACTTTCACACAGGAGCCACGCCCCGACACACACGCAGTTAAAAAGTACTTAAAAAATAAAAAAATAAGAGGCGAAATCCCAGCAGAGCGCCGGTGCCACGCTGTGCGTTACTACGAGTCGGTTAAAGTAACATTCGGTTTCCACGTGGATTCCCCCGACACGTGATCGCTGATCTGTGCGCGCGCGTGAGAACACCTACGCGACCTGAAGTCAACACCGCTGGCTGCCATCAAGCCAGAGGAGTGCAACTCCAAACTAATGGGTAGCACTTTGTTTGGAGGGACTGACGGGAGCATGAAGTCTTTATGAATGTTTATGCCATGAAGTCTCATTCCGTAAATAATGACACTTTAATGGACTTCTAATGCAAGTTTGCATTAAAAGTCATGTTTTCATTTTTTTTAAATGTCTTTCTTAAACGTTTTATGGCTTTTTTTTTTTGTTTTTTTACTTTTTTAGGTGTTTTTTTATATCTGTGGTACAAAAATGGGTAACACTTTATTTGAAGGGGGTTGAATAAGACTGACACGACACTTTCATAAACATGACATAACACCTGTCATGAACATGAATAAGCCTTCATGAATATTTATGACTGTTGTCATAAAGCGTCATTCGGTAAATTATGACACTTTTAATACAAAGTTGACATTATTCAAAATGTCTTTGTTATGACAACTTGACATTAACCAGGAAATCATTACTGATATAAATTTGTTATAAAAGTATTACTGATTGCACTTTAAAAATGAGGTAACTTTATGTTATTAAAGGTAAAATTTAAACAGTAATGATTTCCTGGTTAATGTCAAGTTGTCATAACAAAGACCTTTTGAATAATGTCAACTTTGTATTGTCATAATTTACCGAATGACGCTTTATGACAGCAGTCATAAATATTCATGAAGGCTTATTCATGTTCAAGATATGTTATGTCATGTTTATGAAAGTGTCATGTCAGTCTTATTCAACCGCCTTCAAATAAAGTGTTACCCAAAAATGTCTTTTGCATTCCTTGTTCATGTGTGTGACTTTATACTTATGTCATGTTCAAAATAAATACAATTATTTACTGAACAACATTTATGCGCCTCATGACAGGTGTTGCGTCAGCCTTATTCACACAACTTCAAATAAAGTGTTACCAATTTTTGCTTCCTCCAGAAATGAGCTGCACCGTTTATTTTCCACTTCGCAAGTAAGCAATGCAAAAGAAAATATTTGTATGATGCTCCCAAACATATTCATGCTCCTCTATCTTTCAGATTTTAATGTTATTTGACAGACAAAATGAAGCATTTGTGAAGCGTGAAGTAAATAAATGCTTTTGAAACTTTTACATACAAACTCTTAAAAGTGTGGTGTGAACATGAATTTGACTCTTTCAAATGCCACCCAGTTAGTCAAGGGACTCCGTCCATTTGTAGCTCAGTCTAAATATAAATCCAGCTGTGGAGGCCTCAGAGGTTTGTTAGAAAACATTAGTAAATAAACGGCATCATGAAGACCGAAGAACACCGGAGACGAGCCAGGGAGAAAGTTGTGGAGTTACTGACTTACGAGGAATCTGTAACAAACCCCACTCCAACTTCAGGAAGCCATCACAACATTGCCTCTCTATTAACCCTTCAATGATGCTTTTATCAACTTTGCACTTAGTAGCTCGTATAACAAGCTAGATGTGCAGCTCCACCAAGTGTTTGCCAATTGCTGCTGGCTAGTCTGAAGGAGCTGATTGGGAGGATCTCTCCACGAGGTGGAAACAACTGGAAACCTTTGAAACTGCAGCTCTGTTGAGGAGCTGGGCCTCGAAGGCGGAGCTAGGTCCAGCCAGGCGTTTTACACAGCTGAATGGTTGCCACGGGAGACTAAAGGACTTCTCAAACATACATGGAGGAATAAAGAAAACACTCCAGGTGTGTTTCTGATTTGATGGAATTTGATTTTACACAACAAAAGAAGGAAATACTTTTAATTTGGTTTTATTTTTTTCATGCTGTTGGATGTCTGAGGAAGTCAAAGTCTGAAACATATCCATTAAAAACTTGAGTCATGTTTTCCGGTACATTTCCAGTAGATGATTTTTTTATTTTTTTACATGCATCAACCTGCAGCCACAGAAATGTGTTACAGTAACAACAGTAGGTGTACTGTAAAAAAAGCTGGCAGTCTCCTGAGTGTTCCCACTGACTGCAATATTTTTCCAGTCCTGGCACTGGACTTCAATGGGCGCAGTGGGAAAGCAATTTATCGCCCACAGAGCAATGCAGCAGCATGATTAAGCCACAAACACACAGGCTGGACCGTTTACCCACAACCAGCCGACGTGTCAAAACATGACAAGTGAGAGCAGACACACTGATGAGGAGCAAAAATAAATTCAAGATAATCCTTTATTAACCTAAGATTACCATGGAGACATATCCATCACCAGAGAGCGTCTTCCGTTTCTCTCCATTGTGTCACTTGTCAATAAGCAACTTTTGTAAATAAATAAATACAACTTCATTTAAAAAAAAGAAAAAAAAAGAAAACAGGCGTCTGCAAATTGAAGCGTGTCAAAAGCTGGAGTGTCCTCTGTTACATGTAAAACATTGTCCATATTTCAGCGTGGCATGCAGCGTAATACAGATGCACACAGTTTGCTTCACTTGTTTCTTTTGTTTTGGATGGGAAACGTGGAAAACCTGTGCAGTGCGACGGCAGCAGTTAGTTATTCCTTAACGTCAGGGACTAATCTAATCATAGAGGTGAATGTGTTGCCATTATCATATCGCTACAGAAGCCTGCAGCGGCTCCTCGCTGTGATGGATGGTCCCGCTGGAGTTGTGTTGTGGTAACGAAAAGAGAACAAAACTGAGTCTGTCGGGAGCATTTGATTTGTAAACGGAGCAGAGTGGGTTTTTTTGACGCTGCCTTTGAGAAACGTGTCATCAGCACAAAGAGGATGATGGAAGACATCAACGACAGTGTTTTTTTTTTTTTTAATTTTTAACTGTAAAATAGAGAAAAAAAAATCTCAACTGTGCTGTCAAACTGCTACAAGATGTCAGAGTGACTCTGGATCAGTATTAGTTCATCTGTGAATGAAATGCTCAGCAGACACGTCTTTTTGAGAAATCTATTTTGCCGACTGCAGCGCCTCTCCTTTTTTGGTCGCACTTCTGACTGTAGAGGTGAGTTCAGAAACTTTTTGGGCAGCTGATGAGCGATGGTCAGCCGGCGGCCTTCAGCCGGTCTGGAAGGAGAGCGTCCCACATGGAGACGGGACAGAAGAGTCCCCCCATCCGCCTGGTCGTCCCGCCTGGCTCCCTGAGGCGTCAGGTCTCAAAGTATTTGTAGATCTGGGAGACGTACTGCATGACGCTCTGCCAGTCGGGCCTGTCGGTCTTCATCAGCTCCTCAATGTCCTGTTTGGAACGGAAACACAGCGGAAGTGACGTGGGATTAAGGTGATGTTGATGGTAAAGGCAATACGGCGGATAGGGCCTCACTGAGAACATTAATTAATTACGAAGTCGTATTATGGGAATAAAATCACAAAATTATGACTTATTCTCATAAAGTGAAGGAAATTTCTAAATCACAGCATTTAAAACAATTTCTTTAGGACACCAGTCACATAAAGAAGAGTGGTTTATATCATTAAAATGCAAATCGTAACTGCATTTAGTCCGATTTTCAAATATATTTATATTTATTGATGCTTTCATTGGATGAACAGTGAAAAAACAAATATTAAAGCTGACATTCTTGACCATATGGACAGTTTTGGGGGTTTCAAACATTAATTGGAATTTCTAATGACAACAATAAATCAAAATTTAATTTATTACGATAAATGATAAACGATACGATGAATGTCCATCTTTACCATGACGTACAAATTACTGAAGACAATTTATTTGTTTTTCATATCAGATATTTGATTAGTTACTGCATGCAATCATTGCTGAACACTTCTCAAAAATGTTAAAGAGGACCGTGGCTCGTTTTCTCTGATGTATTCAACATGAGTAAAACTGAACACAAGACACACTTTGATTTTTAAAATCAATGGTAGATGATACACTTAAATGAAATTAGCAGGTTGTTTTTTTTCTCTTCCATTCCTTTAAAATATTTGTTATGTTGTCTTGAAACATTTCACTGAGTGGAGCACAAGGAGAAAAATACTTTTAGACTCTTTTTATATTTCTTATGTTCCAGACGTGGAAGAAAAACACTTCCAAGAGGCCATTTCTCACTAAAAACCAAAAACTGAGTTTTCCAACGATGCTTTAATAAATGAGCAGAGTATGCAGTGGAAACCCAGAGGCCTTATATCCTAATAGCATCTCAACAGTCTAAAATGGTGATGGCAGCATCATGCTGAGGAAATTATGCAGGACAGATGGAAAGAAAGACAGAGAACAACATTTCTAGATGCTTCCTGCGTTCTTGTAATCCTGGAATGGAGAAGAAATCGTGACACAGAAAAGAGACTCTGATGACTCAACGCAGATTTAATAAGCTGTGACAGCAGGTGAAGGGATTACAGTATAACTAAAACAATTAACTGAACACACACACACAGGCAAAGGCTTTTGGGAAATGATGCAGAAAACCGTAAATTAGTCCAACAACGTTTGGATTTGGATGCAGCAGAACATCTCTGGAGGGACCTGAACACCATGGAGTCCAAACGTGCTGAACTTCAACACGTCTACAGAGAAATTAAACAAACTACAGGAAACACTGGTAAAGCTCGCAGGATTGTTTCCCCAAATTCCTCTGACTCAAAAAGTTGATTTGTTAAATGTTTTATCTTTTTTATACTGACATGGCATGAATCTGAAAAAAAAAAAGAAGAAAAGATCTCTCTGCTGACTCAGGTTTCTGTAATTGCCTCTGTAAGATCACAACCTAAAAAAAATGAGGAACTAGTTTCTGGGATGTGTTCAAAGTAAGAAAGACGAAAAACATGGAGTCCAAAGTTCACCAGCAGAGAGAAAGAGAGTCAGGATGGGGGGAGACGGAGGGGTTACGTTGTGGACATGGGAACAGTTCAGTCAAATCCAACCACAAACGCGCAATAGAGAATTATAAGAAACCAAAGCGTGACCTTTGTTAAGTCACTTTACTGCTGTGGTCAAACTTCCAGATTTGGAGTTTTAAAAAGCCACATCAGGACAAAAGATTCCCGCTGGGAGTTTTAGGGTATACGTCTGATTCTAATCTCAACATATACTTACTATTATCATTTTTATTTATTTATTTTTTATTTCTTGCAGGTACTATTTTGGTCAGTTAATGAAGCAGACAAGTATGTTCCAAACACAGA